TGGGTCTCCAAGCCAGGCTCCATCCGCATAGGCTGCCCCAGCCCCGCGTCTTGGTCCTGCCGGCAGCCGGCTTGGCCCCCCGGTGCACCCGGAGAAACACTTTCCTCGAGCTCCGTGCCCGGACAGCCAGGCCTCCAAACCCGTCCTGGCATCGTTCAAGCATTGCATCCCGCCAGTGCTGTGCTCGCATCTGTGCCAGGAGCATTGTGGGTCTGTGGCCCTGTGGCACTTTAACCAGGGCACATCCCCTGGTAGTGTGTCAAGTGAGGGAACTTGCCGTTGGCTGGACAGACTGGGGGTGTGCTGCTCACGGCCTGCTCGTGGCCGGCTTTTGCTCCCATTACAACTTGCACGGGACAAAGCGAGACCAAGCGGATGGATGTTGAGATGTCACAGCCTCTCCGTTCAGCATCAGAATACCCCTTAAGGTGTCCCAGCTGTTCCTGGGCTTGCTGCAGCCTGAAGATGATCCATTTTGCAGCCTGTTGAGCACACTTTGATACCTGTGCTTCTCTGCTGGTTTCTCCCTCTCTTCCAGATCAGGATTAAGCTTTACATCCTTGCCGCCTTTCTGCGCCTGCTACTGCTTACTCGCTTTGGAGGTGGCAAATCTCACCGCTGGCTGATGACGCCGGCCGTGGCTGTCGGAGCCCTTCTCAGCCTGCCTCCCCTTCTCTGTGGGAGATCCCCAGCCTGTTGCAGAACAACCACATTATCCTCCTCCAAATCCCTCTTTTGCCGTGACGTCTGCAGAACACTTGACTGAGATTAGTCTGTCATGCGGAGGCTCTTACCCCCCTGCTGACCTGTGCTTCCCCTTCTGGGGCTGCTTTTGGCTTGTGTCTGTTCCCTTCTTGTGCAGCCGGTGGCGGCACAGGCACTGGTCCGGGGCTGTGGTGAAACCGGAGTTCTGGGAGGAATGTTGGACACGAGTAGTTCTGTGCTCTGTCTGCTCAGGCACTAACTTTTCCATCACAGCTTTCTTGCTTGTGCAGTGCCCTCTCCCAATAGCATCTCCAACACCCACATTTCTTCAAAAAGGATCTTTCACTGAATCCTCCTCGTTATTTTGAGAGGTATCAATGAGGCTAAAGATTTTATAACTTCTTGGTGCAGCGTCCAGCTGTGGAGCTGGTGAGGCCGCCAGCTCAGCGTGAAAGGATTGGAGTTCTGCTGCTTGCATCACAAAATCCTGCCTGTACTGCTGCTCAGTGCCTATTTTTTTTATTTAAAGCAATCATTTGTGCTTTTGCGCTGGGCAGATAGCAGTGTAGTGCCTTGAGCATGATCCCAGCATTATCCCTCAGGCCATTGTACACTTGGGCCCAGTGATGTGTTTCCTTCATGTGGCCCTACTTAAATTTCCTGTTTCCTCCTCACTTGGCAGTGAGTGCCCTTGGATCAACACCAGTTTGCTGTGACAGCAAGTTGCAGACCGTTGTTCAAACAAAGGAGCAGCAAGAAGTGTTTTCTTGCCACAACGTTCGGCATCAATGAAGCATGACTGAAATAGCCTCCAGCTTTGCTGTCAGGTCTTCAGGAGGATGCTGCACCTTTGGCAGGGACTCAGAATCAATCTTTGAACAGAATCAATTAGGAAGTTGGAAAATTGAACGTGATGCTGCATAGATTTGACGTGCTCAGGCTGCTTAGTGTTGAGATGTCTCAATCGTGGTGTTCTTGGCACGTGCACAGGGAGAGGGTTCAACGAAGGGCTGCTTTACCGAGGGAAATATGAGATCTAGTTACCCAAAGCTGCGGCGTGTCAAACTGTAAATGGGCTGCAGATTTTCCTGGTTTCACCATTGGAACCCTACATCATGGGATGGGTTGGATGGGATTGCCTGAAATCTTTGTTTAGGTTTGAGGATATTCTGCGAGAGATGTTTCAGTTTTACTGCAGAGATAAATGAGTGATGGGATTTTCTTGATGGTCCTGCTAACTTGGGTTATGCCCAGTATCCAACCTGATGCTTGTGAGTAGCCATGCCTGGTTTTAGTAGTTTCAGATCCCTGCTTAAAAATACAAGATTATTTCAGTTGTTGTAAACTAACTTCTTTCTCTCTCCTTTTGAGGTGTGAAGTGTTGTTTTTCCAGTCATTTGGACCTTTTTTGAACTGCCCACTTGCCTAATGCCATGAATATTGCGGTGAACAATGTGGAAGAAAAAGCTGTTCATTCCTGGTCGAGAATTTCCTCTGCGGGACAGAAAGTGCTTGAGGAAGCCCTCCGAGTCTTCAACCCGATGTCCAAGGACCTTTTGGACACAGAAACCCAGCTGGTGGCCTTCATTCAGAGCCTGAAGGAGGAGGGCTACCAGCCCACAATTCTGAGGAGTAAGGATGTGTATGGGTACAGCTCGTGCACGGCAGACACACCCAGTCAAACAAAAGAGAGTGCCCCACACGACTGCACCAGCGCCGCCGAGTCTGACAAGAGCCCGGCTAGAAACACCACGGCCGTGGCAAAGGTGTCTGCTTCGCCCCCCGGTGTTGCCGTAAACTCTGCGAAAGTCTCCACTCAACCTGTCTCTAAAGGGGATTCCACGAATCTCCTCTTGAGCTCTTTGAAGCAGACGAGATCGGGCACGTCCAAGGCTGCGGCAGTGGGTTTCCCTACAAGCATGTATCCTGACGTGTATCCAGCCATGAGACTGTCGGTAGTTCTGGAAGCTCTGGTGCCGCTGAAAACTACCGCGTCCTGTTTGGAGTCCAAGTACACGCGAGGGCGTCTTGGGATCTCACCCTCAGACCTTAAACTCCTTAAGGCTTCGAGTCCGCAGAGGCAGTTTTCTTCAGGCAAGACCACTAAAGTAACAGAAGGTAAGGGGTACAGGCGTTTGATAAAGAAAGCACCGGATTCCGCCAACCTCACTTTAAATCTTCTGAAGGGACCAAGGAGTGGAGTGCTGCAGGAGAGCAATGCTTGCAAAGCCTCGGGAGTCCTCAACGGGAGGGTCACAGGCAGCTCGTCCCAGGGCTGCACTGCAGCACCGCAGTCCAAGAGCTTGAAAATCAAAGATAAGGAAGCACTGGTGAGGAAAACCGAATGGAAGGACACCAGCACTTACCAGGAGAGTGTCGGGCAAAAGAAGAGAAGAGCTACAGAAGCAAGAGAAGCACCGCAACGAAAGAAAGCAAATACCATTCCTGTCCGAAATAAATCTCAACGGGCTCCAAGCACTTTGAACCTGCTGAAATTCCGGGCCATCAAAGTGGGCAACTCTTCCTCTGATGATGAAGTGAGGAGGAGAGCACAGAAGATTCTTAGGGTCAACCTGTCCCCTGTGATCCGAATTCAACCCTTGTCCCACTCTCACAGCGTCCCCTGAGTTCCTTCACTTTGTCACATTTTTTTTTATGTAAGTAAAATACAAGCCTGGCACCAGAGCGTGGAGAAGTTTAAGGGCAACTCTGGATCTCTGATGCCGATCTGTCAACTAACCTGCAGACAGAGCAGCCTGCTCTCGCGCAGTTTCTGCCTGTCACCGCTGCTCTGCAGAACTGCAGAAATACTAAAAACCTGTTTGAGAACGCGGGATGGTGACTCTGGCCAGAGGAGGGCTCGCTTCCCACGGGCGCTCCTCTGAACGCGGCAGGCTGCGCGCTCCCGCAGGGGGAGAGCAGGGGATTTTCTCATGACATTGATGCACTGTGATACTGCTCTTTTTCAAGCTGTACATTTACTGGTTTTATTTTGATCAAATTTTATAACTTTATTATCTATATATCTCTATATCCATATATGTGCATATGACCCAGGAACTGTGGGAAGATGCACTTCCTCCATCCCTCTGGGATTGGGTTCAATAGCTTTTGTTCCCCCTCCCCTTCAGCCAGTCTTTTGTTGAAAGGTGCCAGGTTTTCTTTGTGATTCAGTGTTGTGACAGCCTGTTCTGGGCTCTCTTGAGCAGCTCAGAGGCAGGCAGAGTTATAGCCACTTGTTTCTCTCCAGATATGCCAAACAATTTGGAGAATTACCAGCTGATAGTTGACTGTAATCATTATTTTGGTATTACCTCTGCGTAAGAGTGGGGGAGTGTTACAGGGCTGTTGCCTGCAAGTCTGCCTGATATCTCTAGGTGCCTCCTCCGTTCGCTGGTAGCAGAAGCTCCCAACTCATGGTAGGGTTTGCCTCCAAAGAGCAATTCCTCCTCAGCACCCAGTTTCTCTGCTCTCCTGTACCCCAGGTGCAGATGCAGAGCGTGAACTGTGACTGTAACAACCGAGGGGCTGGAGTTGTCAGCAGGAATTGCGTAAAGTGTCCTGCCCACCACCTGACTGCTGTGCTGTTGCTGTGAGGTTTCAGGAGCAGGTTCTAGGTGCTGGTAGAGAAGGCACAGGCTGTGTTTGAATGTATTAGATCCATCCTGCCAGTCCCAGAGCTCAGTGGGGTACTTGAGATTGAGTTAAAGCAGAAAAGTGAAAGCGTTGAGAGTATATATGCCAGTACTTAAACGTAGAGAGTTTCTGTTGGTTTGTGGGGGTGAAGCAGTTGGAGGGGAGATGGGCGCCGTGTGGTGATGGGTGACAGCTTTGCTGTGCCATCTGGGATGTCACGAGAAGGTGTGTGGCAGGCGTGAAAGCTCCCGGAGCGCAGGCTCTGCCCGTCCCCAGGAGGCACTGTGGAACTGCTGCCGACGGCTGGGCTGCGTGCTGGCCGAGGTCGGGTCTGCTCTCCACGGGGAGGGCTCTGCTTGCTCCAGGAGAAACACTGCGGTAGAGCAGTACATGCTGCCACTGTCACCAGGCAGCTGGGAGGGATGGCCTGGGCTGAGACTGTCTGCGATAGGATACTGCAAAAGCAGAACCTGGTGGCATGGGGAGAGGAAGCAGCGTCGGGCCGGGCACGGACCTGGCTCTGTACGCTGCTGTATGTTGGGATCTCTGCAGCAGCAGGCTGGTAATCCACTCATTCTCTCACCAGCTCAAAATACCAGTTGTCTGACCTCGTAATCTCTGTGGACGTTGGCTGAAGGATTGAACTCCCCTGGGAAGCCCCAGCTCCTCGCGTTTCAGCCCCTCCCTAGCACCTGGCTGGATTTCAGCACTTTGTAAAAGGGGTCAGCATTGATCCCCAGCTCAGAGAGGAAAACCGTGGCACTCAGAGGAGAGAGGAGGTTCACGAGGGACTGAGAAGGCAGGAAAGCTGGGACCCCCGAGGCACAGCTGGGGTTCTTCCCCCCTCGCCCAGGTGGAGCAGGGTGCAGGTTTTCCCTTGGGGGATGATTGCAGGCTCTGGATCATGCACTCAGGTTCTGTGTGGTTTTACTGTGCATATCCAAGTTGCTGTCAGAGATCATAACTTGCAGTGTTTGGGACTGACCTGTGAATGCCGCTGGTTGGCTGCAGAGGAGGAGGAAATATTTTCTTCTGCTCAGTGTTTTAAAATGCCCTGGCAGAGAGTTCCCTGTCCTGACATGATGCTGGATGAACAGGGACCCTCCATCACTGTTAACCGGCCAAAAATTGCTTTGTCCCTTTTGTTCCCACTCCTTCAGACCTTTCTCATTCCCACGCTCTCAAATGGCAGGTCTTGAAGGCTTGCACTGGAGTTTCTCTTTTTGGCTGTTTCCTGAGGAGGGCTCTGAACTCCTGCCTGTGATATCACTGTCTGACGGGCTGCTGGGCAGCTTCCCCTCTTCCCAGCCCCTTATAAGGGCACCAAGAACTGTCTCTGGAGCCTCTTTGTGCAGCGCAGACATCCCAGCTGAGTGCCTGGCCTCCAGTGAGAAAACAACTGTGCATCAACAAGGCTGAATTTGGGTTGAGGTTGCTTTTCCTCCAGCCTAGCAGGAAGCTGAGCACCTCAGGCCAGCTTACCAGGCTCCATCCCTACTCTTTGTTGTGTTTCTTCCCCCAGCTGCACAGCTGCCCTGCCTCCTCACTTTTTTCCATCACCTCGTGTCTTTCGCAGCTGGGTCTTTGCCAGTCAAGGACTTGGCTTGTACTGTTGCTTAACACATCCAGCAAAACATACCGCCTTAGCACTGCCATGACTTTCCCAGCACTGAGCTGAGTTCTGCAGGTGCTTGACGGCTCCCCCAGGGTCCTTCTCAGGCCACCAGCAAGAGATCTCCTCCACGGGGAGAGATGAGCATTAGACACTTCTGTGTCACTAAGGCTCCTGCCAGGGAATCCAGCACCCAGTAGCTCTGTGTTCAGGGACTTGCCTGTCATCAGTCCAGTCTGTCAGCTCTTCTGCACATCTCACGGACCGCAGGGCCCCTGAGTGCTTGGAGCTCAATTCTCTGCCCTCCTGATGTCTCCTCTCCCCCCTCGCAGGTGATTTGGGAACTTGGCTGGAAGGGTTGTAGCTTGTTATTCACTTTATAGCCCCCCTGGTGCCAGTGTCACTGCCTGTCATCCAGCGCTGGCAGACGGGTGCCTGCAGCCTGATGGTGGTTGGTTTCATCGTCCTTCATCTCACAGCTGGGTGTGGGTGCTCCTGATATCCTGGGCCTTCAATACCGGCATGCAGGAGGCTGCAGAAGGGGCCGTGCTGTGGATACTGCTGTCTGGTGTTTAGGGAAGATGAAGGGTTGGATCAAACCAGACCTGCCTAAAACCTGATCTAACCAGAGATCACCCTCCAGAGGTCCCTTCCACCCTGTGTCAGTCTGTGACAGCAGGGTAAGACTTGCCTTCCAGGGATCTGCACCACAGTAACTGGCAGGGCAGGTAGAAGTGTGTTGCCCGGAGTGCTGTGATCTCTGCCGAGTGTGCTGTGTGCAGGTTGTCCAGACCTGTTTCTGTATTAGTCACTTTGAATTCATCCAAGTGCCTAACCCAGCTTATGTTGTTCCTGGGCACCATGACAGCCGAGAGCTTTGGAGACTCTTAGGAATGCTTTTACTGCATGGATTTATGCCACTGTCACTTCTAGAAATGATTCAGCCAGCGGTCAAAGGGCTGTTCGTCCAACTGATTTTGTGGAAATCATTTCTCCTTTTATTCAGCTGCCAAGAAGCAAGAGTTTATGCTTCGCCTCCATCAGACAAGGTCCTTGAGTTTCCTGTGTGCTTCAGATGTCTGTCGGCAAGGTCCGTGGGGAGAGCAGCTTGTCCGGCAGGCAGCTGAAGGGGAAGCTGACATCAGATACCAGTTGAAATCACATTGTTAACTGGTAGAAATGTTTTGTAGCTCATGTCCACTGTGATCAGATTTCACCGTCTGCCGCTACTTTTAGTTGGAGGAGTTTCTGCTTGGCCTCTTCCCTGAAAGCCATGTAGCGTGGTGCCGCTGCTTCCGAACTATTTTTCTCCACCCCACTACCTGCAGAGCCAGCTGCCATGGCGATCCTTGTACAGAATTTCTTAAGCACTTTTCTGCAGAATAAGAAGGGATTATTTTATTACTCCTGTTTTGTAGCCCACTAGTGGTATTTCAGTGCGAGGAGGAGGTGTGCTCCCTTGGAGTGTTGTGAGCACTCCACAGCTGCCCCTGTTCTGCCACGTGTCCCCCGGGCCCCCCTTGTACACCACCAGCACTTCTCCACTGGTGGAGCTGGTGGTGAGCACAGAATTTGGGCCTTTTCAGCTGTGACTTGTGCTGTGTTCATGGCCAGACCTTGCCAGCATGTGGGGGAGTGCAGCTGCTCCAGCTGCTCTCCTCCTTGGGTCCAAGTTCTCTGTTTGGGAGCTGGGCCTTTGGCCGCGGCATAAGGGACACATGGGGACAGAGAGCAGGTTTGTCTCTCAGCTGCAGCTGGACAGTGTGACACCAGCTGGGTGGCTTCTCAGGCAGGAGGGCAGGTTTAGGTGGGAGGATCCTTGTTTCAGCCATGGTTGGCAGGCTCATTGCTGAGCTGTGTGGAGCTCCTGCTGCTCAAGCGAGTTGGGAGTAACAGTTCCTGTTTCAGTCTTCAAAACGGCACTTGTGGTTTGATGGGGATGGCTTTCTGGGAGCTGAAGTGGCCCAAGGAGAGGATGGCTGTTCTGGGGCACCTCACACCTTCCTAACAGTGCTGCAGCCCTCGGCTTTGCGAGCTGGGTGGGCTGGCACCGCTCGTGCAGAGGGCAGCAGGGCAGGTTGCTCCCAGGCCCTCGCGTTTGGGACTCTGCTAGAGCGCACCACGCTGGGGTTTCCCTCTCCTCACAGCCTGTTCCTGCCTGGGACTGGGTGCTGTTAGGAAGGTGCCAGGTGCCTCGCTAGATGGTGGAGCAGAGGTCTTGTCCCAGAACCAGCCTTTGTCACTAGGTCAGCCCTGGGTGTTGAGTGAACCTTGTCTGTAGGTATGACACTGCCAGCACTCGCAGCTTGGCCAGCTGCTGCCTCCAAAGCCGTGGTGCTAAGGCCAGACTCCTCAGTTTGCTTGGGAAAACTGAGGAAGTCTGGTGAAAAAGCAAGAAGCTGGGATTAGGGGAAACCAAAGATGCCAGCAGCGCCTGGCTGGCCAGCTTCTGCTGCGGCGGATCTGCAAACAGGAGCCGGGGCCGGGGCCTGTCTGCCAGGTCTGTGCACTTCCTCGGGTGAGCATCTGAAATACCTTCTCCTGCGGGGATGATTAGGCCTTGCCCTGAGGAGTCCCTTAAAGGCCTTATTATCGTCTGGGACTCTCTCCTTGTTGTCTTAATTAGCCCTTTCCTTTCCTGTTGCTACAGGCAGCCCCTGTGAGAGTCTGGTGATTCCCACAGACACAGTCAGGCACGCGGTGCTGTTGTAAAAGAGAAGGTGCTGCAAAGCTACCCCCAGAAATACCTCCCCCTCCTACCCCTGCTCCGCCACGCTGCCCAGAGGGACGGGACAAAACGAGTGTTGGCATTTGTGGCGGGGAAGGAGTGGTGTGTGTCACCGTTCCCTCCTCCTGCCTGCCAGTGCAGCACTCCCCAGGAGTAGCATGTCCTGAGCAGAGGCACAGCAGCCGCTCTGAGGGATGCGGGGGCTCTGGGCAGGCACTGCCCGGCCCCTCACGCTCCCCTCTGCCAACCTTTGTCTCTAAGAAAGCCGTCCCCACGCCACAGCGTGACCCATCTGCTCCAGCTGGGCCCAGTGCCCCCGGCTCAGCCGTGGCCATCCCCTGGTGTTGGGGGGATCCTGAGTGACGGCCGGGGAGCAGCGACTGCAGCCCGCGGGAGGGCGAGGAACAAACTTTTGTATGATGAATTTACAACAACTGACCATCTTGTTCTCTAGTGAACTTTTTACTGTGTCATTTGTGTAGAATGTTTCCGAAGCTATATTAATATGTAATGTTTAATATAAGGCTGGGCTGCTCCACACTCAGTGTTGTATATTTTGGAATGGCGTTGTTTAGTGAAAAGACAGCGTTAGTATTATTCCGCTCTTCGGAGGGAAATGGGACAAAAACCAGACTGTCTTTTTTCTTAAATGAAGTGAACTTTTTGTTATGAAGTCCTAGCAGGTGTCCAGCCCTTCAGTAAAATGGTGCTCAGAACTGCCCAGCGTGTCCAGCTTTTCTTTGGGCTCCGCCAGACGGCTCCTCCCGGGGCTCCTGCCTCCAGCCCCGTGTGAGCTCCGTGGAATGGGGTCTCCCGTGTGCCTGGCTGCCGCGAGGGGCACGCTCAGCTGGAGACCACCACCACCTCTTCTTCCCCAGTTCCCTCCAGCGAGTTACCCAAGCCCCTTTAAGGAATGCTTGGCATGGGATGGGAAATGCTCCAGGCGAGTGCCACTGGTGCTGAACTGGTGTAAACTGGCATAAATCTGCATTCCAGGTTAGTTCTGAGAAACGCACCGGGTCAGCGTGGTGCTGGCAGGTGCTCTGCCAGCTCCTGCCTGCCTGCCCACCCTACAGCTTCTCTCTAGATCTGCCTGATCTGCAGCCGGGACCCTGCGGCCAGTTAATTCAACAGAAACCCCATTGTTTGCCCGCGTGCGATCTGCATCTGGTTTGTGCTGCGGGGCCGTGGGTGCACTGACCCGGCACTAACGGTGGTGGGACCGTGGCCCCCCCGGGGCAGACAGTGGGCCCAGTGCGGGAGCTCGTTCCTCAGGAAGTGGTTAAGCGGTTCTGCCGCTCGCTCGGGATGTTCAGGGAAGCGTTGGCTGCCCGCTGAGCGCACTGAAGTCGGTCCAAGTGGGGCTGGCCAGGCATGAGAGGCTGCCTCAGGAGCTTGGGGGCTCTGCCGAGGCTTAGGGGGGGGGCCCTCCTTTTTGTACCCCAAAGCAGCAAGCACTGCCGGTTCCCGCTGCCGCCCCCCTGAGCAAAAGTGCTTTGATTGCTGCTGAAATGTGCTGGTGGAGCCGAGGCTGGGGGTGCCCGAGGGAGATGCTTGGCAGCTCTGAAACGCTGGTGACCGAGGGCTGCGGCGGAGCTGCTGGCATCTCCCCGTGCAGACGTGGGCCACCCCCACGCGTTCAGCTGTGCGGCGGCTGAGGGGGTCACAGGGGGGTTGGGAAGTCAGAGCAGCTTTCAGGGGAGCCAGGGGGTGCCTGGATGTGGGCTGGGCCACCTCACTTGTCCCTCAGATCCAGCTGAGGATCCCTCCCTCCCGCTTTTACCTTGCTTTTCCAGGCAGAGATCCTGTTACAGTCGCCTTTATCAGGCCACTTAGGATCTCCTCAGAGCAGATAAGGTTTGCTTGGCAAGATCCCTGTGATAACAGACGTCTCAGCCAGTGCTAATGGCTCTTTATCAGCTCATCTCCTGCCAGCTCTCCTAGCCGAGGAGCTGGTGGTGCCCGGCCACCACCCTGCGCTGCCAGAGCCTCGGCGGGCACAGCCCTGTCCCTCCTTGGGGGTTTCCCAGCACCTGCTGAGAGCACGGCAGGGCTCTGCCCACAGCATCCCTCGCCCCACCGAGATGCATGGGACC